AATGTCAGATGCAGCAAAGCGACCGTCTTCAAGGTTTCTGGTCGTCAAGATTTTCGTTGCCGAAACGGGAAACGTAGCGTATCATTGTGACGATCCTGGGAAACCCGACCCGACTAACACTCTGTCCCCTCAGCTCCATGGTGGGGGTGAACCTCCCCCACAAGGCGGCGGGTTTTCTCATGAAGAAGGAGCTGGATTACTTCGCCATGGCGCTGGAGAAACCTCAGAGGCCGTTCCTGGCCATCCTGGGAGGGTGAGAGGAAGTTCAGCCATTTCTTGTGCTTCTGCCAGTTTCTGCTGCAGATTTATCCTGTGTTTTAGTCAGACTTTCATAGTCACTGACATGACTGTGAAAGTCTGACTGCAAAGAAGGAAAACTTTTACTTTCTTCAAACTTGATGGTTTTCACTGCAGATAAGACTGGTCAGTCAGTCAGTCAGTCAGTCAGTCGGTCGGTCGGTCACTGACTGGTTGGTCAGTCGGTCGGTCAGTCGGTCACTGACTGGTTGGTTGGTCGGTTGCTGACTGGTGTTTGCCAACTGTTGCAGAGCGAAGGTGAAGGATAAGATCCAGCTGATCAACAACATGCTGGATAAAGTGGATGAGATGATCATCGGCGGCGGCATGGCCTTCACTTTCCTCAAAGTTCTCAACAACATGGAGGTCAGCAAACCAGAACCAGAACCAGTTTCTCCTGAAAACCCGATTCCAATCTGGAGTTTTGAGCAGCAATATGGAGAATTCAGATCTTATTTTCTGAACTTCAAACCAAAAACCTCACCAAGTTTTACTGTCATTTAATGATTTATTTCCTCCATTCAAATTGACTTTACTAAACAATCATTTAACAGGTTTTCATAAAATAAAACATTTATAACAAACATTAGGTCATGTTTAATGTTGGATAAAATAAAGTTTATGTAAAAATCAGCTGCAGTGAAGTTAACAATAAGTTATTACATAGAACTCTCTTTATTTAAATGCAGAGGCTTAAATAATATTAATAAAGATTCATGAAATGAGAATTTCAGAATAAACATTCAGATTTTATCAGCTGGAGCCACAAGTTTACATTCACCTTTCTTCTTGATGTCTGAAATTAATCAGAACAAATTTGATTCAAAATGTTTAATGATCCTCATTGCGTCCGCAGGAAAACGGCCCATGGCGTTGCCAGGTTGGGCTTCGTTTGAGCCCGGCTTTGCTTTCTTTGCATTTGGGGTTTATAAAATATGTTTAGAGGAAAATTTATTTAAATGTTTGTTTGGCAAAAAGCATAAAAACCTTAACATTTTAGTAAAATGTTGTCTTTCACTAAATTTTTTAGTTTACTTTGAAATGTGTAGGTTGTGACATCATCAGTGATTACGGCGTTTTTCAGACTGTATCTGCACTGTAAAACAGAAATCAGTGAAGCGTTGATTTAAAATAACGGCTTCACAAAAACATGAGTCTGGTTCTGATCCGACAGTTCAGGTCTGGTTCTGGTCAGAATAAACCCAACGACAGAAGTCTTTCACCTGAGGACCGCAAATCATATCACACATTACGATCTACTAGGATTTCAATCTATAAACTTTATTTATTTTTAGTTGGGTGAGTTTTTTAGCTTTTTGGCAGGAATGTCTCAGATCTGGCAACCCGCCTGCAGCACAGAGACTAAATGTCCTGACCAATAATCCTCCTAAAATATCTAATCTGCCAGAAATCTGAACAAATGTACCATTTCAGAGCAAATAAGTCAGGATTTGACTAGGACAGATTGTATTGTTGTTGAGTCTGGGGAAACTTTGTGTGTTTTTGATAAACTGCAGGTCGTGACCTCAGTTCAAACTTTACTGACTCAGTTTAGCAGAATCTGGTTCCTCGGTGTAGATCAGAATCGTCCAGATTAGCAGAAAGTTCAGCAACAAAAAGGAAACGTAAAGCAAGAGGAGGTTACAGGTTCGACAGTGTTGCATTATGGGAAATGAGGGGGATACATTAGAGCTGATGATTTTTACGTTTGGAAAGTTTTGATATTCAAAGTGTTTTGTAATAAAATGATAGTGTTTGATTAAAAGCCTAAATATGAAAAACATTTAGATTTAAACATATTACTATTCAAGTGAAATCTGATTATTTAAACTGTTGGTTAAAATCACCAAATGTGTTTTGATTTGATAAATGCCAGAAAACTTGGCAGAAACATGTTATTTTCTTTTGAAACTTTCTTTGTATTTTGTGTTTTTAACCATTTAATTTTGTTTCAAGCATGAATATTTACTTTTCCTGAAGCCTTATGGATCTTTTAGCTCGGATTCTGTTTCTTAAAGTGAATATAATTTGAACTGTGGGATTTTTATGTTTTTCTTCAGTCGGATGAGTTTCTAATCGTCCAAATCTTTATTTTATGTCTGTCAGATCGGGATGTCTCTGTTCGACGAGGAAGGCGCTGGTATAGTCAAAGACCTGATGGCGAAAGCCGAGAAGAACGGCGTCAGAATCACGCTCCCCGTCGACTTTGTTACCGCAGACAAATTTGACGAGAACGCCGCCACCGGCTGCGCCACCGTCTGCCGGCATTCCCGCCGGCTGGATGGTAAGGAGAGGCCTCGACCTTTGACCTTTGACCTTTGGCCTCGGGGTGACCCCCAGCTCCTGTGGTCCGCAGGGTCTGGACTGCGGCCCGGAGAGTTCCCGGCTGTACGCGGAGGCGGTGGGCCGCGCCAAGCAGATTGTCTGGAACGGGCCGGTCGGCGTCTTCGAGTGGGAAAACTTCGCCCGGGGAACCAAGAGCCTGATGGACAAGGTCGTGGAGGTCACGAGGTCAGGCTGCATCACCATCATCGGTAAGAACTGCGGGTCAGATTCTGATACCACAGAATATTTGAGAAAAAAATTACTTTCTTTTTAAAATGTTGAGAGAATTCAGTCGTTCAGCAAAAACTCCTATTTCAGAATAAAATGTTAAGATGCTGAGCTGCAGAAGGAAACGGCCGAGTTCCTCAGACAAATCAGATTCTTAAAACTGTCAGATTTTCTCTTTCAAACTATTTTTCTAATGATTTTACGACTTTATTCTCATCTTCAAACAGGTAAAACGTCACAGTTTTGGTTTTTCATCAGGTCATGAATTGACCTGATGCGTTTTATTTTAATCTTTATCTTCACATCTTGAGATTCTGATTGTTCTGCTTCGTTTTAAATTCAATAAATTAATAACATTTTACTATTAAAGTGAATAAAATCTGTTCTGACCAGCAGCTGATTTCTGTTTGTGTTTCTGAGGATTTGATCTCTTGTCTATAAACTTTAGCAGAATAAATAACAGCGTTTCCCTCTGATGCTGTTCGCTTTCTGTCCAGGTGGGGGCGACACGGCTACCTGCTGCGCTAAGTGGGATACTGAGGACAAAGTTAGCCACGTTAGCACCGGCGGCGGCGCTAGCCTGGAGCTGCTGGAAGGTGAGCGCCACCAACAGGAAGCAGTCGGCAGCATTTAGGAATTTCAAATTAAAATATAAGCAAATGGGGATTATTATGGGTCAGTAAACACTTATTGTTATTATTATTATAGTGGTGAATAAATGTCTCCATATAAACCAACAGCGCCACCAGCTGGTCAGTCGGTGCAGTCAGGAGGAAAAACTGCAAATAGAAAATAAATATGAAATAAACCAAAACAATAAGTTGATTATTTTGGTCAAACATTAGAAGAAACTAACAAACGTTCATTCAAATTAATCAGAAAGTTTAACTATAAATTTGAAAAATGACATAAAACAAAGCGTAGAATTAGATTGAATAGATCTGACCTGATGGATTGGGAACTGATACACAATCTAGAATTTGTTGACATATCAGAACCGATACGGTTATTGATATCGGATCGGTTCATGTCTAATATAAACTCTATGATGTTGATCTGTTCTCAGGTAAAGTCCTGCCTGGTGTGGACGCGCTCAGCAGTGCCTAGATGCCTCGTCATGACCCTGACCCCAACCTGCCATCTGTCCCAGCAGAGCGCCGACCTTTTACCCTGATTAATTTCTAACTGCAGACGATCTCGGTTTCTCCTTCCTGACGAGAAACGGCAGCCGGGATCGGAGTTTACGGTTTCTGTAGAGCTTCTGTGTTAACGTGGCGAACATACATGATACTTCCTGTCTGATCTGTTCTAATAAAACCGTCTATATTTAAAAAATAAATCAGTGATCAAGTCCTCATTGAACGTCGGGGCCGTGGTAAAAAATATGAGAGAATAAAGTCACATTGCAACTTCTCACAATATTTGACTTTATTCACGTTATTTTATTTCCTTGTACGGTAGCGTTATTCCTCCATAATATTCTGTTGAAAAACTGAATTTTGTCATCACATTTTTTCCATTAAGTAGTTAAAATCATATGAATGAGTTTGTTCAGGCGATAAATTAAAAATGCAGCTCCAACATCATTGCACCACTTCCTGATTTCTTCTTCATGGTTTCCACCAGTAATAACTTCCTGTTGTTGATCATGTGACTCGTGAAGAAACAACTTTTTCCACTGCAGTTTAGCATAATATACCAATTTTAATACAGCTGTACTAAACTTCATCATAGGATAAAAACATTTTATCTCCCTCCTCCAGCCCCCCAAAGTTTCCATCAAGCAAATTTATTTTAATTTGAAATTTGTGCATTTATCTGATCAATGGCAATGCAGCTAGTGATGTCAATGAAAACAAATCTTTTCTCATTAACCTGGATTAAAGCATAATTATAAAAGATGGTTTTGATTAGTTTATTCATGCAGAATCTTTCAAAAGAATAAATTTATTTTGAATGTCACATTTCTGCATATTTTTAAATGGAGAATGATTCATTTCTGTTGTTTAGGTAAAACTTAAACTTTTTTTTGACACCGACTTGTAAATTGGGATTGAATGGAAATTAGCAGCTCATCTACAATCTGATGTATTTTCATGAAAATGCAACTTAATGTGACATTTTCTCTCAAACAGAATAAATTAACAAAGTTGAAACAAATGAATAGATTTATTTGTTCACCGCCAGGGGGCAGCACCTGCTGTGTATTTACAAAATGAAGCGGACGTTGCGTAATGATCTGCTGCTGTTTGGTCGTGATGCGTTCAGGTGCTCTCCCCGTTTTCGTTCACATAGTCCGGTTCATCTGGAAGAAAACAAGTTGTCTCCAAATGAGAAATCAAATTTTATTTGTATAGCACATTTCAGCAAACCGAAACGATTCAATAAAACATGCAACGTATTTAAACTCTAGAATTAATTGTCTGTTTTCTGAAAATTAACACATTTTTTTTAAAGTCTAACTTTGGAAGTTGTAAACGACAATAAGAACATTAAAATAAAGCTGCTTAATTTGGTTTCAACTGTTATTAAAATCCAAACTAACATTTAAATTAGATTTTCTTCTCTTTTATTTGCTTTTGTTCACCTTGTTGTAGCAGGTAAACGTGGTATTATTGTATTAGTAATTGTTGTTCTTATTATTTACGTTTAAATCAGCAGCATGTTGATCTGCAGCTGTTACATTTCTCAGTTCAGTGTCTTTTCTGTAAATTTGATTTAATAAGTTGCAGATGATTAATTTAAAGGCCATAACTCACCATTGGCTTGCTGCTCCAGGAACTCTGTGTTTTCATAGTCGTCATCTGTTGGGAGGGGTGAGGGTAAAGGTCAGGGGTTAGGGTTAAACAGATTTCAGACTGAAGGTTCAGGTTCTGTTTTACCTTCTGTTATTAACAGCGATGGGAAAACATTCCCGTAAACGCCTGGATTCAGCTCAGCATCTGGAAACACATTCATGTTGAAAATGGAAACACAAAACTTTTTGTTTCTGATTTCTCAGTCAGGATTAAAATGTTAAATATTAAAAATAATTCCTCTTATAGGGCACCATCAGTGTCAAAAGTGAGGCTATTGCTTCTTGTATTTTTATTATGAGTTTGGTGCTGATCTGGAAAAGCTGATAAATTCATGAGGAAACAAAGTTTAGTGTTTCATGAAGGTACTCACCAGGTAAGCTGCTCTTCTCATTTACATATAAAGTCTCTCCGATTGGCGCTCTGTGAATCAGAAAAACTGTTACGGGAATTTTGTACATAAAATTTAAATGATTGTTGTCATCTCTGGAAAGCAGATGTTTCTTTTTAAGGGAATTTATGACATGTGGGGAATTACAAACTGAATTTATTGTTTTAATCTCAGTTAACTAACTCATCAGGTGTTCAGATCTCAGGTGTCCCTCAGGGCGCCGTCCTTTGAATATTTCATAAATTTAACATCCACCTCTGCAGTTCAGCAGCTGCTGTCACTACAGCAGACTCAGGCTAAAGATTTATTTTCATTTTGAGGATAAAATGATAATATTAGGAGAGAAAAGGTTGTAATTTTATAATGAAATCAGTCAATATGAAACTTCTGATTCTGTTCTAACTTTTAATCAACAGATGTTTATATAATTTCTTCATTTAACCAGGTAACCTCATTGAGATCAATTACCTTACTGGGTCAACATGCATTAATACTAGACGTCATTTTTCTCACTAGAACATCGACATGCATCATGTTTATTCTTTAGATTAACAGTTGATTTAATTTCATGCTTGTTTTTCGTCTTACTTGATTTCAGCTGCAGGTTCTGCTTTTCTTGTATGCTCTTTGATTTAAAACTATTTCAATCAATGATTAATGATTCAAAATGATTAAAATGAGAGATTCTCACACGTAGTCAGGTTCCAGGCTGGAGCTGTTGGTTTGCACTGCAGGAAGAAAATCTTTTATATTTCAGATGTTTGTAGGAACAAATTAACATTTTCAGGAACTGTGACTTACAGTCTGAAACGTTTTCATAGTCCTGCTCTTCAGTTTGATCTGCAGAACAATGATGAATTAATCAGGACGATATTTTCATAAAAACCGGTTGTCAGTGGCGCAGCGGCTTACCGTCTGGCAGCGCAGACTCCCCAGCAGTTTCTCTGGAAAACAGACGCAGTTTGTTAGCAGAGCTGCATCTCATCATTCAGTCAGAAAAATTTGTTCCTAATGAGTTTAAATAAAAAAGTTCCAACTCATCCGATTTGCCAATTTATCCGATTATTTGGATTGGAGGCCACAGGTCGCAGAATAAAAGCACTAAAGTCTGAACGGGTTTATGATGACAGCAAGGAAAACTGTGGAAAACAAAGTGCAGCCACCTAAATAAGGTTAAGGTCTGGACTTTGACTAGACCATGTCAGCACTGAATTTTTTTTTCCCAGAAAAATTTGATGTTTCCTGTTAACGGGTCAAACATGATATTTAGACCTGAACGCCTCACTGGCACAGCAGGAAGTTATTTACAGTGATTGTTTCACTGAGTCTCAGTAACATGGCTCCGGTTTTAGTTTTAAAGTTTCATAAAGACGATGTGAGGAAGAGGAGGGAGAGACGATTCAGTCATCATTTAATAATATTTGTTTCTCTGTGATTGTATTATTTTATGTTTGTTTTATATAAATATGTATTGATATTACTAAATCATATATTTCAAAGTTACTCCTGGTTGTATGCTCTGGAAAATGTGCATCAGACATCTATTTTATTCTATTCTATTCTATTCTATTCTATTCTATTCTATTCTATTCTATTCTATTGTATTCTATTCTATTCTATTTTATTCTATTGTATTCTATTCTATTCTATTCTATTCTATTCTATTGTACTCTATTCTATTCTATTCTATTCTATTCTATTCTATTCTATTCTATTGTACTCTATTCTATTCTATTCTATTCTATTCTATTGTATTCTATTTTATTCTATTTTATTCTATTGTATTCTATTCTATTCTATTCTATTCTATTTTATTCTATTGTATTCTATTCTATTCTATTCTATTCTATTTTATTCTATTCTATTCTATTCTATTCTATTCTTTTGTACTCTATTCTATTCTATTGTATTCTATTCTATTCTATTCTATTCTATTTTATTCTATTCTATTCTATTCTATTCTATTCTATTTTATTCTATTGTATTCTATTCTATTGTACTCTATTCTATTCTATTCTATTGTATTCTATTCTATTCTATTCTATTCTATTCTATTGTACTCTATTCTATTCTATTCTATTGTATTCTATTCTATTCTATTCTATTCTATTCTATTCTATTGTACTCTATTCTATTCTATTCTATTGTATTCTATTCTATTCTATTCTATTCTATTCTATTGTACTCTATTCTATTCTATTCTATTCTATTGTATTCTATTCTATTCTATTCTATTCTATTCTATTCTATTGTACTCTATTCTATTCTATTCTATTCTATTCTATTCTATTCTATTCTATTGTACTCTATTCTATTCTATTCTATTCTATTCTATTGTATTCTATTTTATTCTATTTTATTCTATTGTATTCTATTCTATTCTATTCTATTCTATTTTATTCTATTGTATTCTATTCTATTCTATTCTATTCTATTTTATTCTATTCTATTCTATTCTATTCTATTCTATTCTTTTGTACTCTATTCTATTCTATTGTATTCTATTCTATTCTATTCTATTCTATTTTATTCTATTCTATTCTATTCTATTCTATTCTATTCTATTCTATTGTATTCTATTCTATTCTATTCTTTTGTACTCTATTCTATTCTATTCTATTGTATTCTATTCTATTCTATTCTATTCTATTCTTTTGTACTCTATTCTATTCTATTCTATTCTATTCTATTGTACTCTATTCTATTCTATTCTATTCTATTCTATTGTACTCTATTCTATTCTATTCTATTGTATTCTATTCTATTCTATTCTATTCTATTCTATTCTATTCTATTCTATTCTATTTTATTCTATTCTATATTCTATTCTATTCTATTCTATTCTATTTTATTCTATTGTATTCTATTCTATTGTACTCTATTCTATTCTATTCTATTGTATTCTATTCTATTCTATTCTATTTTATTCTATTCTATTCTATTCTATTTTATTCTATTGTATTCTATTCTATTCTATTCTATTTTATTCTATTCTATTCTATTCTATTCTATTCTATTCTATTCTATTCTATTGTACTCTATTCTATTCTATTCTATTCTATTCTATTCTATTTTATTCTATTCTATTCTATTCTATTCTATTCTATTTTATTCTATTGTATTCTATTCTATTGTACTCTATTCTATTCTATTCTATTGTATTCTATTCTATTCTATTCTATTCTATTCTATTGTACTCTATTCTATTCTATTCTATTCTATTCTATTCTATTCTATTCTATTTTATTCTATTCTATTCTATTCTATTCTATTCTATTCTATTTTATTCTATTGTATTCTATTCTATTGTACTCTATTCTATTCTATTCTATTGTATTCTATTCTATTCTATTCTATTTTATTCTATTCTATTCTATTCTATTCTATTCTATTCTATTTTATTCTATTGTATTCTATTCTATTCTATTCTATTTTATTCTATTCTATTCTATTCTATTCTATTCTATTGTATTCTATTTTATTCTATTGTATTCTATTCTATTCTATTCTATTCTATTTTATTCTATTCTATTCTATTCTATTCTATTCTATTCTATTCTATTCTATTCTATTTTATTCTATTCTATTCTATTCTATTGTACTCTATTCTATTCTATTCTATTGTATTCTATTCTATTCTATTCTATTCTATTGTACTCTATTCTATTCTATTCTATTGTATTCTATTCTATTCTATTCTATTCTATTTTATTCTATTCTATTCTATTCTATTCTATTTTATTCTATTGTATTCTATTCTATTCTATTCTATTCTATTTATTCTATTCTATTCTATTCTATTCTATTCTTTTGTACTCTATTCTATTCTATTCTATTCTATTTTATTCTATTGTATTCTATTCTATTCTATTCTATTCTATTCTATTCTATTCTATTCTATTCTTTTGTACTCTATTCTATTCTATTGTATTCTATTTTATTCTATTGTACTCTATTCTATTCTATTCTATTCTATTTTATTCTATTCTATTCTATTCTATTCTATTCTTTTGTATTCTATTCTATTCTATTTTATTCTATTGTATTCTATTCTATTCTATTCTATTCTATTCTATTCTATTGTATTCTATTCTATTCTATTCTATTCTATTCTATTGTACTCTATTCTATTCTATTCTATTCTATTGTATTCTATTCTATTCTATTCTATTCTATTGTATTCTATTCTATTCTATTCTATTCTATTGTATTCTATTCTATTCTATTCTATTCTATTCTATTGTATTCTATTCTATTCTATTCTATTCTATTGTATTCTATTCTATTCTATTCTATTCTATTGTATTCTATTCTATTCTATTCTATTCTTTTGTATTCTATTTTATTCTATTGTATTCTATTCTTTTGTACTCTATTCTATTCTATTCTATTCTATTTTATTCTATTCTATTCTATTTTATTTTATCCTATTTTGTTTTCCCCATTAAGAATATTTAAATGTGTCGAACGTCAATAAATTCAAAAATACCTTAAAAATAACTTTCTTGTAAATGTAGCTATGCAGCTGTTTGAATAAGGTTTGCTGAAAAACAATGGTGATAATGTGTTTAGTATTTAGCGAGTTGTGATTGGTTAAATGCGCTGATACGTCAGTCCTTCTATCACACAGATTAGGCTGAGTGGAGAAGTGACTTCAACTGCTTCCAAACTAAAATGGCTGCTGTGCTGCTCTGGATTAGCAGTTTAAAGTCTCGATGTTCAGCTGGAGAACAACCAGCGACTGTCACTGAAGTTCAACAGGAAGTCAAGCTTTACAACAAAATGGCTTCCTTTAAACCTTCTGAACATAAAAACATCCAAACTGAGAATCTTCAGACATATTTGATTTGAGGCAGTATAACATTTTTATAAAACGTAAAATCAGGGCGATTTATGATGTGGGCAGTTACCCAGGGCTGCGTCAGAAAGGGGCGGGGCATGCTTCCTAAGTTAGCTTCCCCTAATCCAGAGTTTCTCATTTCCATTTTCATTTATTTGTCAATAATTCATTCATATTGAATTAAAAAGTTCTGGTTTGGTGTCAGATTTCATAATATGGAAAAAATTTAAGTGAAATAATCTGCCACTGGAAC